AACCTAGCCATCAACTGGTCTTTTAGATAAATTATTAAATAAAGCATGAGTTCCATCTTCATACATCATGACCAAGTAGGATTTCATCCCCAAGGGATGCAAGGATGATTCAACATATGGAAATTAATAAACGTTTATGTGATCTACACAGAAGCAAGGACAAAAACCACAGGGTCATCTCAATTTGATTTAAGTCACTTATGACAAACCAACTACTAACATCATAATAAATGAAGAAAATTTGAAAGCTTCCCCTCTAAAAGCAGGAACAAAACAAAGATGTCCACTATCACACCAGTCCTGTTCAATATAGAATTTGAAACATTAGCCAGAGTAATCAAAGAAAGAAATAAAAGACACACAGGGAAACAAAGAAGTCGAATTATTATTTACAGATGATATGATCCTCTCCATAGCATAACCAAAAATTCCACCCAAAGAGACTAAAATAATTAAATTTTGCAATATAACAAGATAAATTAGCACACAAAAATCAGTGACATGCCTATATGGTAATAATTAACTACCCACTAAAGAAACTGGAAAACAATACCATTCACAACAGCATCAAGAAAAATGAAGTTTTTAGGAATTAACCTAACCAAGGGAGTAAAAGGCCTCTACAATGAAAACTTAAAAGGAGATCAAAGAAGACATCAGAAAATAGAAAGACACTCCCCTCTTCCTGGATAGGCAATACTGTCAAGACAGCCATACATCTAAAATTGATACATATATTTAATGCAATCTCAATAAAAATACCAGCAGTACTCCTCACAGAACTACAGAAAACAATCTTAAAGTTCATATGGAATCAGAACAGACAATGAAAAGCAAAAGCAACCCTGGGAAACAAGAGCAATGCAGGAGGCATCCCATATTTCAAATTAATTACAAACCTACAATGATAAATACAGCACAGTACTGACATACATGGAACAGGTATGTGGATCAGTGAAAGAGAATAGAGGATGTAATAACAACCCAAGGTACATTCAGAAAACACATACACTGGAAGAAAGACAAACTCTTTAACAAATGCTGCTGGGAAAACAGACTACCCACATGAAGAAAATTGAATCTAGATCCGTCTCTCTCACCAAGTGCTAAATGAAAATCAAAATGATCTAAATATTAAAACAGAAACAACAAGCAAGCTTCCCATATGAGTCGGCATCATGCACAGGCCACCAAGGGGAGAACAGATGCCAGTGTTTTCCTGTGATTCCACGTCATTCATGAACAAGAAGAAGCAAGCCCTCCCTGTGAGTCAGTGCCACCCAGGCATAGGCTGCTGGGAAAAAACAGATGCCAGCCCCTTCCAACTTGTGGGCTGGGAGACAAGAGGAGCCAAATGCCATCCCCTCCCCCTGCTATGTGACCAGCTGATCTGGAGAAATACAGGCTGCAATCATAGCTATTGAGGTAAAACATAACTTAATGCTGGTAGTGTTTAGTGTTTCACTGACTTTGCAGGACTAAAACCAGATCATCTATTCAGACAATATGCTATGCATCATCTAGGAGGGATCTCTTTATGAAGGTGGGAGCCACTGTTAATTCCCTATCATTTTGTTTTGAAGTCCTGTATCATTTTCATTGTTTTACTGGATTGGTTTTTATTTTGTTTTGTTTTGTTTCATTTTATTTTATCTAATGGCATGGACAGCCATTTCAAAGATAAGATATATCAGGGTAGCCACTTTGAATTTATTATTGTCTTTAAGTCCTTTATTGTATTTATTGTTTTGTTTTCATTGGTTCTATTCTGTTCTGGTTTGATTTTTACTACATCTGAGGGTATAGGCAGTTATTCTGAAAACAACAAGAAGCATTATGGTAAACATTGTTGATTTCCTATTATCTTGTTTTGAAGTCCTACATCACTTACACTGTTTTGTTTTGATTGGATTTATTCTCTTTAAAATAAAAACTACAAAAACAAACTACAGCAGAAACAATATGCTGCAAGATAATACATGTAAAACTTGAAGTCATAGGCACAGACAAAGACTTTCTGAACAGTATCCAAACTGCAAAGGAAATAGCATCAAGAACCAACAAATGGGACTGCATCAAATTAAAAACCTTCTTTGCAGTGCAGAATACAAGCAACTGAATAAAGAGACCACCTACTGAATGGACAAAAAAATTTTGCCAGCTCCTCCTTAGACAGAGGACTAATAGCTAGTATATATAAAGAACTAAAAAAAACTAGATCCCCATTCCAATTCAAAAATTTAAGTCAAAAACTAGGCAACTGAAACAGACACTTCAGAAGCACAAATGACCAATAAATACATGAAAAATGTTCAATATTCTGCTCGTTAGAAAAATTCAAATTAAAACAACAATAAGAGTCCATCTTACTCCAAAAAGAATGGCCATTATTAAAAAATCAAATAATAACAAATGTTGGCAAGGCTATGGGGAAAAAGGAACCCTTTTCCACTGCTGGTAAGAGTATAAATTCACACAACCACTACAGAAATCAGCATGGAGATTCTTCACAAAATCAGAAATTTCATTTAACCCAGTTATTCCCTTCTAGGTATCCTCCAAAAGAATTAAAGATATCCTATTACAGTGATGCATACATATCCATGTTTATATAACAGCATAACTCATAATAGCTAAATCTTGGAAGTAGCTCATACGTATATCAATAAGAAAATGTGTTATTTAAACACAATGGAGTACTACTCTGCCATTAAGGATAAATTTGAGTTTTTGCAGGAAAATGGATGCCCCTTTGGAATGTTAATCATGCTTACATAATTCAAGATTTCTCTTATATGAGAAACCCAAAATATAAATAAAGAGTAAAATAAAAGGAAACAGGAATCAGAGAGATAGATCTTATGCAATAGAGAAGATTACCAAGAGATGAAGGAAGGCAAATAGTACAGGATAAAGAAAAAAAATTGCAATGTGTTACATAAATATACCAACTGCCCATAGTGACTGTAACCATTATATACTCTATAAACACATACTAATAAAAATTATAAAATTTTTAAAAGATAATAGGAAACACAGATGTAGATCTTTTGTAAAAGGTAAGGTGACCAAGAGATGGAGTGCGGGGAGGAGGGAAGGGAATGAAAAAGAATTAAGGTATGTTACATACATGTATCAACTCCCCATGATTGTAATCATTATGCTCTGAAAACATGTACTAACAAAAATTTTTAAAGTCAATATGGGCCAGGGATTTAGCTCAGCAGCATAAGTGCTTGCCTGGCAAGCACGAAGTTGTGAATTTGATACCCAGTACCAAAAAAAAAAAAAAAAAAGTAATAATAATGTCAATAAATTAAAAATAAAAAAGAATCATCCATCTTAACTGCATTGGTGGAACAAACTTTAATATTTCATGACTTTAGCTTATAGAATAACCAACATATAATCTGTGCCTAATGAGTAGAACAAAGATTTGAGGTAATCACTATTTCAGCACCATCAAGAGTATTTTGACCCCACCATTTGCTATTTGCTTTGCCAATAAATAGGGTATGGTATACAAAGGACTATTTCACGTGGAACATGAAAAAATTTTAATCAATAATACGTTAGACTAATCACAGACAACAGAGCAACTCTTCAGTATTCTAGCGAATTTGGTTACATGTTTATCACAGATTAGCTAGAATAAAATTTGCAATGTGTATCATTAGCAAAATATAGTAGACAATACAAAATAAAACTGATGATTACCAAAATTATACCTATGGAGATTTGTTTCAGAGAACATATTACAGACACCTTAGGACCACAGAAATGTAAGACTTGTCAGAAAAAAGTAAAAGACTTATAGAGAACTACAAACAAGATGGACAACGGCAAAAAGCTTTTTAAAGTCTTAAAATTAACAGAAGAAACAAATTTTAATTATTTTACTCTGGGAAAATTCACCCATTAAAGGCTATAAAAGCAGACGTTTAATGACAAAAGTCTGATACAAACTAATCAGGAAATCAACTCTTAATTAAAACTTTTACATAAATGACTCTGTGAAAATAAGGACTATAAACATAAAAATTGAAAAACAGAGTCCCTAAAAGATCACCACATACAAAAACTTGAGTAGGCCAAAAAAAATTAGCTTTGAGAAACATTTTCTCAGTGAAAATCTATCAATGTTTACATAAATCTGACTTAAATATTTTTTCTTAAATATGAGAAGGAAACTATTTGCATTAAAACTCATAGGTTAAAATGGCAACTGGGTCAATGTTAGTGCAAAAATACTATATATGCAAAATCTCATTGGAAAATGACTCATTTATCTCTTAAATTACTTTTGAATGAATACCTAATAATCAAAAAACACTGGGGGAATCAAGAGCAATATTCTTTCAATTCAAAAGCCGGGTATAGTGGCACATGTCTGTAATTCCAGCACTTGGAAGACAGAGGCAAGACAATTGCTTCAAGTTTGAGGCTAGCAAAGACTACATAGTGAGTTCAAGGACAGTCTAAACTACACATTGAGACTCCCAAAAAAGAAAAATCTTTCAGTTCTCTGAAAGTGGTACTCTATTTTCTATTTGTACTGCTCATTAAAAGTTCACGTAATACATCACAATCTATAAGAATCCCCTAGGAGGACAAAAAAAAAAAAAAAAAAAGAATCCCCTAGGAGACTTATTAAAAATTCTATTTCTAGATCCCATTCTCTGATTCCAATGAAAGATCTAGAAATCTGCTTGTTTTTAAAGAAAAGGTATAGCTCAGGCTGGCCTTCTACTCACTCTGTATCCTAGGCTGGCCACAAACTTACCACCATCCTCCTGCCTCCACTTCCTGAATGCTCTGATTATAGCTATGTGCCACCATGCCTGGTTGAAATCTGCATTTTTAATTTGTATCCTAAAATGATTTCTTATGCAGCTAATTTAAGAATCACATTCTGTTCTGAAGAGGACCATCTAATCAGGTAAGGGAAAAAAGGGGGACAAAAAGACAGAAAGAGAAAAATACAAAAACTAATTACAAACCTTTGTATGTTGGAGCAGGTGGTGCTGTTGCCACTTTCCTGACTTTTGTTGTCAATGAGCTATCGACATTAACAACCATTACTGGATGGTCAATATGACCCAGATTCTGGCTCTGGCCATTTATTTCTTCTGAGTGTTCCCACTGTTTTCTAATTCGCTCCTTAAGTTTTTCCAGTTTGACATCATGTTGCCGCCGCTTTAAAATATCTAATCTTTGGGAATTAGAAGTACTAGTAGAGGATGGAGAAGAATCACTTAGCTGTAACACTTTCGGATCAACAGAATGGCCCACGTTATTCACAGAAGGCTTTAAACTGTTCTCATTTCCTTTTGCTCTGTTAGGCATTTCTCCTTCCATTTTCATAGGAACTCCTGTCTTAATCAAACATTCAGAATTGTGCAATGCATCAATTGCTGGTCGATCATTTAAAAACCTAACAACTGTATCACTGATTACAGATGACTGAGAGCTCTCAAAATCGCAGCAACGTATATCCTGTTGTTCTCGACTACATATCAACCGGTTTCCACTCTCAGCTTTTTCTTCATTAACATCTACATAATATACATGCTTTGACTCCAGATGGCTAGAACTTAAGTTGGAAGATGCACCATGGATTTCCCTATAATAAAAAAAAACAAGTTCTGTGATAATAGTAACAACAAAAATAATCACAGATTTGAAAATTGTTAAAAGTAGATTTTTAAGTACTTTTTTTCTAAACCACATGAAGTTCCCAGCCTTCTATTGTATTTTTATTGCTTCAATACTAACAGCAACTTCTGAATCTGTATTTTATGCCGTGATGACTCCACATATACTCATATGCATATTTTCAAATACCAATTGAATATACTCACACAAGTTTTTAAATTGTATTAAATGAAGCTGTATGTGGTGGAGCATGCTTGTAATCCCAGCACTTTGGGAGACAGGAGGATTGTCACAAGTTTGAGACCAGCCTGGGCTACACTGTGAGACCCTGTCTTAATCAATCATTCAATCATTCAATCAAATCAAATCAAATCAAATGTAACATTAAAAACTGAACTCATTATTCACCTGTTCTCTCAAGTTCTTTATCTCAAATTTACTTGGTACTATCAACAAACATTTACTTAGTACTATCAAGTATCATCATGAAACTGATTTATTGACACTTTAAAATACATGAAATAGTTATAAATGAAATAAAATTAAAAGTACCTAAATATGTTCATAAAAGTATAAGGCATTTTGTACTGTCTATACCTTTAAATTTATACAACAATCTTGAACATCTGAGTTACAGAAAAAAAGCCATTAGCAACAAAATAATAAGCTAATTCATATTTACAATACGAAAAAGATGTAGGTGATTGAGCTTACTTTCAAAAAAAGGACAAAATTAAGCTACACATATCTTAACCTGCGAAAGGCGTTGAGTTCAATTTCCTGCATTACATAAAAACAAAACAGAAAAAGCTAAAAATTAAGCACAGGTACAGTGGTACGTATAAAACAAAACAAAGAAAAAGAGCCATGTTTCCAAAAACTAAGTCATATTCCAGGAAGTGATATTAGAAGGATGGGGCCTTAGAAAAAATATTAGTATTTCTTCCCCCTAAAGAAGGTACAGAGTGTGGATGTGATTCAGTGTTACAGCACTTGCCTACAATGCATGAGGCCTTGGGTTCAATTTATGACACTGCAACAACACTAACAACAGAGGAAACAGTAAAGATTTTTGTATTATCTTTTGTGGAGAATGAAAATAGTAGTAATAGTAAAGTATTATAATACTACCTCATGGCCAGACTACTATAAAAAAATGCTGAGAAAAAAAATTATAATTCTACTGAAAGTATTACAGACCAATTCTAACTGCTTTTTTTCCCCCCACTGCTAACCTGTAAGAAACCAAAGGATCACGAAATTCCACATGATTATTTTTCTTCACATTACTTTCCAGGGTAGTAGCTCTGAGAGGACTACGAGATTTTTCTTTTCGTGATTTAGATTTGGAGATTGAAGCATTAACCCAAGAATCATCCAGGTATCTACCATCTAAAGAAAAAGAAAATCTGTGAGTACACATAATGTAAACTATGACTGCCCCTAAATTTAGTTACTATCTAAACAATAACTGACTTATGTTATTTGTAGCATCTCTAGTTGGATATTATATAAGACAGAAACATTCACATTAAAGTTATGATAGTTACTCAATTTACAAAGAGAAGACTATTCTCAGCTGACAATGCAAAATATAAATCTACATGTAAATATTTTGTAAATAATTTTATTTTTAAAAGAAGCATAGATAAAACTTGAACTCTCAGGTTAAAAAAAAAAATCACAGTGTAAGTAAAAAGATCTGACTTGCTCATCACTTAAAACACAATGAAAATATGCCAAAGGTAACCAAAGAAAACACATTGTATCAATTTATGACATGATCGGTATGAATGATAATCTATCTGGGTTTTTTTTGTTTTGTTTTTTGTTTTTAGCATTGGGAATTGAACGTACTGTCTTGTGCATGTTAGGCAAGTACTCTACTACTGAGCTGTATCTCTAGTTCTTCCACTAAGCTGAATTCCTCCAAAAAACATACTTTATTTCAATAAATGGACTAAATTTTATTTTAAAATATACCTGTGAGCTTAAAAAACAAATTGACACAGAACACCTCAACTACTCAAAATAAGTCTCATTACAAAGAAATGAAAATTCATTGTCAAAAGGAATGGAATGGTGCTGAAGTTCCTGATCAAAATTTAGTAAACTGAATCATGCATAGTCACTGAATACGAGACTCCTTTATAACTACTACTCAGTACCAAAGGAAGAAAATTAAATGCTGGGCTATTAAAATGACGAGGATACAATATGTGCTGATACCATTCCCAAATATGAATGTAATTACAATATTATGAATCACAAACATATGCTAATTTAAAAAAGAAACAAAAGAATCTAACATCAGGGGGCTGGGGATTTAGCTCAGCGGCATAAGCACCTGCCTTGCAAGCAGGCGGTCGTGAGTTCGATCCCTGGTACTGATAAAAAGTTAAAGTTAAAAAAAAGAATCTAACATCAAATGTAATTACAATATTATGAATCACAAACATATGATAATAAAAAAAGAAATAAAAGAATTCTAACATCAAAAATGTATTATTTAGGGGGCTAGGGATTTAGCTCAGCAGCATAAGCGCCTGCCTTGCAAACGCGAGGTCGTGAGTTCGATCCCTGGTACTGATAAAATTATTTTTGGGACTGGGGATATGGCTCAGTGGTAGAGTGCCTGCCTTGCACATACAGACCCAAGGTTTGATTCCCAACACCATAAAATAAATACATAAATTTATTTATTTATATTTTTATGTCTGAAATAACCTCATACATACCTTTTCTACTTATCTTTCGGGTAGCACTTGCAGAAGACTTCTTGACATCCATGACAGAATCAAACACAGTTGTACTTGAAGGGGCTACTTCTAATTTGTTTTCAATGTGTCTCAGCTAAAATTTAAATATCATATATATAAAAGTTAATTCTGTATATAACCCAACTACCATTGGTCTACATGATCATTTAAAGCTATATTACTGAAAATCTTTCCCCAAAGTAGCCTTATCACTCTTTATGTCACCTATCATTACACTTTAAATGTAATGCTGCCCAAATCTGAACAAAATACAATGAAAAAGATTATGAAGACTATCTAAGATTTCTATTCCTCATGTTGAACTATGTTTTTAATTGTTTCTTAAAGCATTAAATTATCTGACATATATGCATCATATAGTCTATATTTTATATGCAAAACTAAGAAAACAATGATTGAGATGATTAAATTTACAACTATTCAAACAGCCACAATTTTTATACTTTTATGTCTGTGAGTAAGCTTCATAACCAAAATACGATTAACAGGATAGATAGAATTTAGGCAGGTTTCACATACTCTTTGCAATGTAATTCAATTTTTGGTATAATCATCAGTATTTTCAGTGCTCTTTAAAAAGCATTTTCTCCTGAATAGTACAATATTATATGCTTACAGGAGAATACTTGAAAACAAAATATACATTAAAAATATATTTATTTATATACACATATAATAAAATTAAAACTACTGAAACTCCCCTATACTTTGGCTGTGGTTGGCACATGCTTGTAATCTCAGCAACTCAAGAAGAAGAATCAGGAAGTTCACAAGTCTGAAGCCAGCCTGAACAATTTAGCAAGACCTTGTCTCAAATTTAAAAGGCTTGGGGTTGTAGCTCAGTGAGAAAACACTAGCATGCGTGTTGCTTCAGGTTTAATCCCTGGCATCATGAAAATATAAAATAAAATAAAATAAACACTGTATATAATCATGTTTCATCCTTCAGATTTTTTCAGTGTAATGAACTCAAAAAATTGAAATAATCCTATATAATAATGTTTCTCTATCAGTCTTTTCCCTGTACTGATTATTATGGATCCTTCATAAATTCGTGTACAGTTTAGTTATGAATTAGCTTAGAACTACATCAAATTGAGGAATAAAAACTATTCCTCTATTACAGATGTCTAATACATAAAGAGTCAAGAATGTATACTGCTTATTTATAGGGTCAAACCTTGATCCTGCATTGGAACCAAATCTAAGTAGTAACAATTTTTCTAAATTCATCTGTGAAAGAGGTCTAAAGATTAGAGGACAGAAAATAACATAAAATACTCAGACAGTAAAAAAGTATTTTAAATCAGGTGGTATACAAAAGAAAACAAAAAAGGGCAATATTAAAAAACAGTTTGCCCAGAAAGCAAATAAAAAAGCAATGTCTCCATTTGAAGGGACTAAATATTACTTGTAAAGGTGGATTCCAAAAATCTAGGTAAGACCAGGTAGAACACAAATGGAACAAGTTGCCCATAGTCATTACTCTTCAGTAGTATGAGAGAAAACAGTTACCTCCATACATAAAAGAGGTAACTTACTACTATTCAAAGCTTCAGGAAAAGCTTGTTCCTTTCACTTCTTCCCTGACAATAAGCCTTCTACACAGAAATAGGCCCATCATTACCAAATTCATTCTATAAAATCTTCCATTTCAACATACCAAATGAACAAATCTATTTGAGGTGAATAAATTACACGTTTATTTTAGTATTTTACATGCCATGGTATTAGCACCCTTGATACTTGAAGTACTGTCACTTTTATACTTTTGCTATTTAATACTTATGCTCATTTTGTAATATATGTCATTTCTTACCAAAAAGCTTATTTTCTGTTCAAAAAAAAGTGCTACAGAAAAATTTTAATCTATCCAATCAGGAAATTAATTTTAAAATGGAGACAAGTAAATGGAAGTTAAAACAACTTACAGCAGCCTTAGTCTGAGAAAGTGCATCCCATGTTGTAGTTACATCTGCTGGGATAAAGTAATATTTACTGAATCAGAATCTCTGAAGTAGATCTCAGAATACAATTTTAGTAAGCTCCCAAACGCACTCAAAGGTTTAAATCACTTTATTAGGCAGAACTCTTCTTCAGCAAACATTGCACCATATTAAACTAAAATACACTTTTTTCTGTATTTACCACCATACAAAGCTAAGCTTCCTACCAAATAGAATTAAATAGGGGCTACTATTATTATCCTCAGGACAACTAGATTCACCCTTCTACCTATACATATTGCAGATATGTCCTAAAATACGCAGTATCCTCAGTTTACTCCAAGAAAGTAAGTAATACAAATTTTTGTACTGTTCTGTATTTGACATTACAATGTAAAAATAATAAGAAAACTACTTGAGACTTCAACCTACCAGTAGAAACAAAGGTTAAATCTATTTAGTCTTTCAGATAAGAGCCTTTCAAATAGTTTAAGGCTACATATTTCCTAAGAGTCATCCTTTTCCAGGATATTTTCATTTCCCTCAAATACTTCTCCATGATTTCATTTCCAATTTCCTCACAAATCCAGTAACTTCCTTCCAGATGTACTTCAGTTTGTAAGCTCCTTTAAAATATATACAATTAAAGTTATCACTAATGCATGATTTTAAAAGTTCAATAAGACTATTTTTGTCATCTGTGCATTACAGATATATTCTTAGGAGCTACATTACACTATTTATTGTCATTAAATTGGAATTTCTGAAAAGCTAGATAAAATTAATTTTACATGGATTAGGTTTTGTTTGTTTTTTTGTACGAGGGATCAAACTCATGACCTTGAACTTGCCAGCCAGTTGCTATGCTGCTAAGCTATAAACCCAGCCCTACTGTTAGTGTTCACTTTAAAAAAGGATTTTCTTCTTTATAAAACAGTTTAACATAGGATGCTTTTAAAAGTAAGGTACCTTGTATATTCAAATTTAAAATTATTTAATCTGCTTTTCCTAAATCAAAGCATGTGTTATGTTCATTTTGTAATGCATGCTTTTATTTTCTGATTAGACCAGAATTTAACATATATAAACCTAAATAAAGAACTTTAAAAACAAAAAACAGTACCTTACCTTGAACAGTATCCTTGCTTTGAGAGTTCCTTGGATTTGATAAAGGCACCTCTTTTGATTTACTGCTCCTCATCCTGCCAATTTACCTGTAATCACATTATCATCATTCATTAAACACTGATATTGTAACATAAGTTAAAGAAAATGGCCTGGCTTACTTACTGTTGTAGTTAGAGTTATGAGAACACTTAGAATCAGGACATGGAATTTATAATATTTTATGATGGTCACCCAGAGTTAACATAAGAAAGTGCAGGAAATCTATCCACAACATTAAGGACATAGAATATTTAGCCAAGGGCCTGAATTCCACAATAATGTCCTACGTGAGTCCAGATGAAAACCTAGAGTCCATCACAAACGTGTCCCACGAGTCCAACTGGAGATCTAGAGCCCACAAGAAGGACTTACGCCAGTCTGTTTTACAGATTCATGGTGGGAAGGTCAATAGTGGAAGCTAGAAAGTCTATGCTAGTGGGATAAAGAAGCTGTGCTGGTATGTTGAAGGTTCTATACTTTATTAAGAGCGAGAAGTCACGCTCTTAATAAAGACCAGTGCTGTCCTGAAAAGCACCACTGCCACCCTCAGCAACACAACGACAAGAACAGTTGATTACATGCCAGAAAGCCAGCATGATGAGTTTGTTCTGGAGATTAAGCAGCACGCATCTTCCCCTCTGGAGCCAGGAAGCAATGCTCAATGTAAGTACCAGAGCTCCCCCAAAGCAAACCACAGCCACTCTCACCAACAAGGTCCCGAGCTCCTCCAATGACAATGTTCAAACTCACTCTGGGGAAGCTAGTCATGATGAGCTCCTCAAGGAGAACCAACAGCTCAAATAGCAACATTCAAGAGAAACCCACATGCCTCCCTTCTCCAAGTCTCTATATATGCTGGCAACTTTCCTCAGGTGTAACATCTACGCTCAGCACCATGGTGATTTAATCCAGCTGTCGTTAGGTTGACCACCAGTTTTAATCCATAACACTTACCCTCCATAAAAATCAGCAAAAGATTTTTGTCATCTCTAAAATGCATTTGTATGCCTTTTAAGAGCTTCTCATAACCAAATAATAGAAAAATAAACCATTAAATATTATATCATGATCAGCTCATATCCATTAGAATGACTAATATTTAAAAAAACAAAATAACAAATGCTGGTGAAGGTATGGAAAAACTGAAACCCTGAACAGCATTGGTCAGAGTATATGTTGGTACAGTCACTATGAAAAACGCTATGACAGTTCTTCATATATTAAAAACAGAATTACTATAAGTTCCATTTATTCAACTTCTGGGTATATACCCCCCAAAATTGAAAGTAGAGTCTTTAGTAGAGATTTACATACGCATCTCCCTAGCAGCATTATTCCCAGTAGCTAAATGGAAGCAGCTCAAGTGTCCATCAATAAGCAAATAAGCATAAGTATAATGGAATATTATCCAGCCTTAATAGCAAGGAAATCCTGACATATGGTACAACAAAGATAAACTTTGAAGATATTATGTTAAGTGAAATAACCAAGTCACAAAAAAGCAAACACTATATGATTTCATTTATATAGGGTACTTAGACAAAATCACAGACAGAAAATAGAATTGTGGTTACCAGGGAGTAGGAGGAAGGAGGAATGGGAAGCTACTCAGTGGGTAAAGAGTTTCAGTTTTGAAAAAAAAAAAAAGGTGTGTTTGGTTGGTTTTTCCGAGACAGGGATTTAATAGGTACTCCAGATTGGCCTCAAACTCACAACAATCCTCTTGCCTCAGCCTCCCAAGATCTGGGATTACACATATGGGCCACATATGTTTTTTTGGTTTTTTTTATCGGTACCAGGGATCCAACTCACGACCACACACTTGCCAGGCAGGCACTTGTGCCACTGAGCTAAATCCCCAGTCCTTAAAATATATTTTTAAAAGCCAAGTGTAGTGGCACATGCCTGTAACCCCAGTACTTAGGAGGTTGAGGTAGGAGGACTGCCAGTTTGAGGCTAGCCTGGGCTACAGTGAGTTCAAGGCCTGCCTGAACGACATGATGAAACCTTAACTTGAAAAAAAAGTGTGTGTATACATAAATATGTGTGTGTGTGTGTGTGTAATTTTATATTTCTTTAAGAATGAAGCTTAATTTTTCTTCTATGGAGTATAGGTTGGACTTAGTAACTCACTTTTAGCTAACATTAAAAGTAGTAGGAAAGGATTTAGCTCAGGGGCACAAGCGCCTTTCTGGCAAGCACAAGGTTGAGTTTGATCCCCAGTACTAAAAAATAAAAATAAATAAATAAACAAATAAATAAAAGTGAGAAGTCAGAAATGAGAAGTTAAGATTTCTACAACTAGGCATTAAAAAAGCATTCTCTGCATTCCAAGTCAAGGATCCAGTTGTTGAGGTTTGGTTCAGAAATTTCCCCCAAAACGTTAATGTGTAAGAGGTGTGGCTTTCTGGAAGGTGACCGGAGTACTGGCCTAATAGTTATATTAATCTACTGATGAGTTAATAAAAATATGCCATTACAAGGTGGGACCTAGTGAGAGGAACAGGGTCACTTCGGGCATGCCCCTGAATGGTGCATCTCGTATCCAGGCCTTCCCTCTCTCTCTCCCTCTCTTTGAGTTTCCTGGTCTTAAGGCAAGTAGCTTTGCTCTATTATGTGGTTTATGCCTCATGGTTAGCTGATTATGGACTGAAACCTCTGAAATTGTGTGTCAAAATAAACTTTTTCTCCTTTAAGTTATGTATGTCAGATATTTTCACCAGCAACAGGAAGCTGACAAATACTTATGTCATTAGAAAAATCAAGTTGCCCTATGAAGAGGTCATCTGGCAAAAAATTAAGGCTTTTTGCCTACAACTATTAAGTGATCATTCCAGGTAATGGGATCTTCCTGCCTAAGTCTTTAGATGGCTACAGCCCTATTTGACATTGTGACTGTAATCTCATGAGACCTTGAATCAAATTCACCCAGATAAGCTGTTCTGAATTCCTGACCTATAGAAAGTGATATAACAAATATCTATTGTTTTTAATGTTTAAATGGAGTATGAGTGGGAGGTTATTAGATAAGTAATACATTACGATTACTTATCTTAGTAGGATTAAGTTTTCTGCCACATCATTTCTCTATTAGAAATAATGAAATGAATATACTTGTATATAAGTTTTTTAGGTTTTTTTAAAACTTGGATTGTTTAGAACAGGATTTATAAAGTGTTAAAACTGGACTAAAGAGGGGCTGGGGATTTAGCTCAGCAGCATAAACACCTGCCTCGCAAGCAAGCAGTCGTGAATTCGATCCCCAGTACCAATAAAAAAGAAAAAGACAAAAAAAAAAAAAAAAAAAAAAAACTGGACTAAAGAATGTGAAGGACATGCTGCTCTTAAAATTCAATGTCAAACTATTTTTTCCAATATATAGCAATAGAAGAGCCTATCAACTTCATTAATAACTTTACCAGTGAACACAGATATTTCTTTACTTTTGCTGATTTAACAGGAAGAAGAGTTGCACTGATTTGAATTTAGTAATGTTAGTAGGATTAAATTTTCTGCCACATATTCTAATCTTAGAAACTTAGAATACTAGATATTACTATACTAGATACTACCATACTATTACCATACTAGATATTAAACTTATGACCTTCACACTGAGCTATATCCCCAGTCCTTTTAATTTTTTTTTTTTTTTTCCAAAAAGGGTCTTAACTGCCAAGACTTCTAATCCTCCTATCTCAATTTCCGGTAGTGCTGGGAATACAAGTGTGCACCACCATCTAGCTCTAATCTTAGTTCTTCATTCATAAAGTGTCTTTTCTCATCCTTTGCCCAACTACCTACCAGGATATTGATATTTTCTTATTAATTTAATGAATAGATTTATATTATAAGAACAGTAAACTTTTAGTCATATGTGATAAAACATATTTTCTCCAATGAGTTCTCTGCACAGGAAGTACAATACACTGAATATTAAAGATCTCAAGAAAAGGAAATCCTTACGTATTGCATTCAAATACATAAAATTAAAGCAAATAATTAAAGTTTAAAGAAGTAATCTTACCTAATAGTAAATAATTCTGATACTTAAATATCCTAAGGAAAAAACTTCAGAAGTGTTCTAAAAATCATGATGCACTTTAATTTTTCAGTAAACTTTCTTTCAAAATCTCCAGTTATTTTATACTCCATAAGTAAATATTTTTTAATATATTTATATAGGTCTCTTTTTTGCACACTAGTAATCATTATTTTTGTAAAACTAGAAAAAAATTGAGAAAAAGTATAATAAGAAATCTCGATAGATTACCAAAAGCCATATTATCTTTAAAGTGTAAATCTCAATTTGATTACATCTTACTCCAGAAAAAAATGGCAAATATCAAGAAATCAGTAACATATGTCAGCAAAGCTGCAGAAAAATGGCTAATTGGGGCTGGGGATTTAGCTCAGCAGTGCAAGCACCTGCCTGGCAAGTGCAAGGCCATGAGTTCGATCCCCAGTACTGCAAAAAAAAAAAAAAAAAGGAAAAAGAAAAGAAAATGGTTAATTGTTGGTGGGAATTTAAAGTAGCAAGACCACTATGAAATCAAAAAACTAAAATCAGAGATTTTAATTGACCCAGCTATTCCTCTTCTAGGTGTCTTCCCAAAAGAATTAAAGGCATCATATTACAGTGAGAGACACATATCCATGTTTAAAGCAACGTAACACATAATAGCTAAATCTTGGAAGTGGCCTCTATGGGACCACATGAACAGATGAATAGATAAAAAAACTATGGTACCCTAATTATACATAATGCACACTACTATGTCATAAGGAAAGATAAACTTGATACAAATAAAAATAAAGAGAAAAAAAGATAATAGGAAAAATGGAGAGAAATTCTTTGCAAAAGAAAAAAGAACCAAGAGATGGAGGAAATGAGGAAGGAGGAGAGGGGAAAGAGGCTAAAACAAAGAATTAACATAATATAACCCTACAAAGAATATGACCATTATGTGCTATCAAAATGTACCAATACAGAAATAAAAATACATAAATCTCAATTTGCGAAATGCTTCTTTCTAGTCACTTTAAA